CCTAGGATTATAAATCATTAATAGAATTTAAAAGAAATACATGAACATGAACTTATCCCTTCATCAGTTGCAACCACATTTCAATTCCCCATACTTATTCCATTTTAACTTCATCATTCAAGGTATGTCCAGGTAAAGATGGTAAACTACACACAAGCATTGTATGTCCAGTGGATTTATCTCAACAGCCAGAGGGAACATTACCAGACATTCAAAGCACTGAGTATGCCATAAACTTTCTGAAAAACCATTCAAGTCATACAAACACCAAAAGTCAACCATTCTTTCTGGCTGTTGGGTACCACAAGCCTCACATCCCACTGAAATTTCCCAAAACATTCCTGGACCTGTACCCTATAGAGAAGATTCACGTGGCAGCAGATCCCTTGCGACCCCTGGATATGCCGTCAGTGGCTTATGAACCATGGACTGATATTCGCTGGAGAGACGACATTGCAGCTCTTAATCTGAGCTTTCCGTACGCACGCATGCCTGATTATTATGCTAAAAAGATCAGACAGAGTTACTATGCAGCGATAAGTTACATGGACAGTTTGATTGGGGAGTTACTAGAAGCTTTGGACAACTATGGTTTTGGCAAGAACACAATTGTGACCTTTGTTGGAGATCATGGTACACAACTTTGGTTTTGTTTTGTAATTTTGACAATTTTAATAACTCAGTAATTTTGACAATAATCCCCTTCACTTCATGCCTTCCTCACCATAGTTATTTTGGCTTGCCAGGACCCCTCTGATAACAGTGTTGAATACACTGATGGGTCATCCTGTTTAAATATTCGTCATTATTATTATTTGTTGTCTTGCCAAAAATTAATATGAACCATGGCTCAACCAAACTCACCTGATATGCTACCAAAGCATACCAAACTGGTACAATTAGGTGTAAATTATAAGCTAAGTGTTCAACTAAATATTTTGATGTGTTTCACAGAATCAAACAACTTACAGTCAACAGAGGAACCCCGTTAATCTGGTCACCAACAGGCCACAAAAATCTGACCATTAACTGGGGTGTGGCATTAAGGGGGGTCCTTTAAATAAGAAAATGACTGACTGAATTTTTCTTTGGGCCAGAATAATGAAGGGGCTGTATTAACAGGGTGGCCGTAAGACGGGGTTCCACTGTACCAGTAAGCAAATCTCTTAATATGACTGATTTCAGGTTGGGCATTAGGAGAGCACTTGGAGTGGGCAAAATACAGTAATTTCAGAGTGGCTACCAATGTACCCATGATGATTCATGTACCTGGTATCACTGACTACATGGGATCTGGAGGCATTGCATCTAATGCTCTTGTGGAATTGGTAGATTTATTTCCAACTCTTGCAGAACTAAGTGGAATCAAAGTCCCTGGTAACTAACAGGGTTTTTGTTTTTGTTTTAATTTGTATCCATGATAAAGAAGCTGTCTTACATGACGGTAATGAAGTTCTTTATAACCTTGAATATTCCAGTGTCAGTTTACTGCTAAACGATGGCAATCAACTGCCTTCTCCAACAATAATGCTGTCTACTTCAAAATTTTGAGACAACCCTAAGAAGAATAATAGTTTTTTTTTTTAATATTTCAAGCTTAGGAATAGAAGAGGTTTCTTTATTACTACCTGCACTGGGATAAACAGTGATTGTGATTGATCCTTTGTTCTTCTTTTCAGGCCTTTGCCCAGATGACTCTTCAAAGTTTATTCTGTGTTCAGAGGGGCTAAGCTTTGCTCCTCTCTTGAAGAACATAACCATGCCATGGAAAAAGGCCATCTTTAGTCAATATCCAAGGTATTAGTGAGTGCAATGGATTTATTTTGGAATGAGAAATTTGAAATACTGTTCAGAGCTACGGTGCCTTTTTCGGGTTGAATCTCATAAGTTTCTCTTTCACTGGAACCAAGAAATGTTTGGAAACTTAAAGAAAATATAGAGCTTGTCACTTTAATTATCTTTCTCGGAACATGAGTGAATGCCCCGAGAATGTCCAATCTCTCTTGGTGCCCCAGACCCCATAATTACTGGCTCCTGGCCTTGCATCAGATAACCAGATAGTCTAATTTAAATTTCAAAATGGCTGCAACAAACTAAATCATGATTTTTATTTAAACCCTGTTCTTAGCTAAACAACTAGAAAACGATACCCTTCATAGGCGCACATACCTTACACTCCAAAATCTTGTTGGTATATCTGCTGGAATATTTTCTCCTACACTGCATTCTCTTATTGACTTTTCAATTGGTCACACAGATTTATTAGCGAGTTTAAGCAAACCACGATGGCAACGCCAACTAGAACATCATCAGACAAAAGGTTTAATGAGCTTAACAATGTACATGTGCATTATAAATTTTTGTACATTTCTTAGCCATTCTCTGCAAAACAACAACATAAAATTACCAAGTTCTGAGTATTTTGCAGAATGTGAACTGCAATGCCTAATTTTGCATATTTTCTTTTGGAATTGAAAGCGACCATAATATATTTAGCCTGAGCTAATTTTTTGACTCATAGGCATACTGAACAGATCGAAATAGTTGTGACATTCAAAGTAAAATGTTCCCGTCATCATTGCTTAAGCTCCCTGTTGTTAGCACTGTTTCCTTGTTCAGGTTAAATCCTGATCAGAATTAGCAGGGCTCCTGCAACCCCTCCATGCAACCTCTTTAAATTTGCAGACCGTCAGACAAACCACAAGAAAACAGCTGTGAACCTACACTGTCAGAGATCACAGTCATGGGATACTCCATGCAGACAAGCCAGTATCGTTACACAGAGTGGATAGAGTATGATCATGACACAAGGAAGGGAAATTGGTCAAACGTACATGCAAGGGAATTGTATGTACACAAAATGGAGGACAAGAATGTAGCATCCCTGTCAGAATTTCAAGAACTTGTCAAACAGCTGTCAAAACAACTACAAAAGGGATGGCGAAATGCATTGCCAATGAGCCAGCACTAATATTTTATTAGTGAAAAAAAAAAA